TTTTAACATTGAGTTCACTGATTTTGAATTATGCTTAATTGATTTTCCTAGTTAGTTTTTTCAATTAAAAGTCTTGTAATGCGCCATAAAAACCATCACTCAGAAGGCTGAACTGTGCCTTTAAAATGTTTTCGTTGTCCGGCATTTTGAAAAGCCCGCGCAAATGCATGTCAAAAATTTTCCGTGCGGGATTGTCTCATCCTTCACGGGTATTGACCAATGAAATTGTGCATTCCACCGTAATAGTCTTTCTTATTAATATATGTTACTGTTTATATTGAACTCTTGCCCAAATGTCCTGCCTGATCTGCGTTATATCCTCATGTTTCACCGATCAATAGATAAAAACTTACTTTATCAGAATCCGTTGCTCCCCAAGCGAAACAGATGCACAATTGCGAAAATAATCCCTCCAAAGTTCGCTAATTTCCCGCTTCGAAATATTAGAACCGCCATTGTTTTGGTAGCAAATACGCATGCGCAAGTCAGCCAAACTCGCACTGCGCACGCGCAGACGCGAAAAATGGATTTTCCCTTTGGGTTTTCCCCGATTTCCCCCGTAAAAACAACAAAATAAAATCACGGAATAAAGGTCAAACCTTTGTAATATTAACGAATAAATACACACACATTAAATATTGTTTAAAATCATTGTATATTTTGCTTGCTCATGTGCTAAATCACTTCAATTCATTGGCTAATGTTTCAAAATACCGTTTTAACGTTTAATTCTACTTATTAACATCCTAATTCAATACAAATTTGTGTATCAAACAGGATGGAGAATATTTAAATATACATACAATTCACACGATCAAGGAACGAATTGACTATTTCGCTAAACTAAAGCCTTGGCCAAACGTAAGAAACATTGTTGCGGAAGTATTCGCGATTTTCAATGTTTGCTCAAATGGTTCCCCACAGGAGTGTCGGCGGCGAGGGAGGGGGGTCACATGCGCCCCCCATTTTATGGTCGGGCAAAGTCGGTAAGAAGAACCGCGGTCTACAATGAATAATTAAATATAATAATGCCAATATTAATTGCTTTTAATATACCTTGCTATATATAAAGAACACCTGTATATGAATGATGATGACTTATGGCAAAGATTATGAAGTTAGTTATATAGTTAGCATAAATTTTAGAGCAAATTTGTGCTTCAAATTTCAAACATTTTCTGGGGGAGTATACCCCCAGACCCCCCCCCCTTAGAGATTCATGCGTGGTATGTCGGCCACATGGCTTTCTCTCACTAATATATTATCTCACAGAAAGGTTCCTTTTCAAAAAATGCTCCCCCCCCCCACGGAAAAATCCTTAAAAAAGGCCCTGATAAAATCTCGTGCAAAGTTGTTTTATGTGTACTGTGTAAGCAAAGCGGTCGGGCAAACTAATACTGTGCCCCCCCCCCCCCAAACAAGATTAGACCCGTACGCCCATGTGGTTCCCTGTCTCCAACCATCTGTTCCAACCGACGAAGCCGGACCAGTGAAGGACCTTTAACTGTACGTGAAAGAAACATGTCTCAAGCACCAAGCACCAAGCCACCAACTCGAAATCCATCATAAAAAAAGATAAATTTGGAGCAAATATAAAATCCATAATTTCGCAGGAAGCAAATTTTGTTTATGCAATAAAAGCCAATGTTTCCAGATGTGGGAGATAGGGAAACATTTGAGCAAACATTGAAAATCGCGAATATTTCCGCGACAATGTTTCTTACGTATGGCCAAGTCTTTAGTGAATCCTATGTATTTTTATATTCTCTCCGTCCTGTTTGATACAGGTGAGTTTTTACGTCGCACAAATTTGTATTGAATTAGGATGTTAATAAGTAGAATTAAACGTTAAAACGGTATTTTGAAACAATTAGCCAATGAATTGAAGTGATTTGGCATATGAGCAAGCAAAATGTACAATGATTGTAAACAATATTTAATGTGTGTGTATTTGTTCGTTAATATTACAAAGGTTTGATCTTTATTCCGTGATTTTATTTTGTTGTTTTTACGTTGGAAATCGGGGAAAATCCACAGGGAAAATCCATTTTTCGCGTCTGCGCGTGCGCAGTGCGAGTTTGGCTGACTTGCGCATACGTATTTGCTACCAAAACAATGGCGGTTCGAATATTTCGAAGCGGGAAAATAGCGAACTTTGGAGGGATTATTCGTAATTGTGCACCTGTTTCGCTTGGGGAGCAACGGATTCTGATAAACTAAGTTTTTATCTATTGATTCATGTGAAAATTACGTAGTTACACGAGGGGTGCAACGGAATTGCATCTTTTGGATGCTCATCCTACGGCCTATAGGGGTAGGGATAGCCTTGTGATCGGGGTCATGATGAAAGAGAAATATATCCAGTTGCGAAACACGAACAACAGGTGAACATGGAAACGAGCCAATTGAAAAAAGCAAAAGTGAAATAAATGGTAAGGTGCATTCTGCAAACAATTATTTGTTAATATATTTGTAATCAACAGACTAGTAGAATGGTCAAACTGTGAAAATATTTGTCTAATATGCATACAGTTGCTCCAGTTTTCAAGAAATCTTTAAGTTTTAAACTGGTCGTTGAAGACGTTAAATTCATACCTTTATGTTTCCAGCCATCAAGAACATCAAGCGTTCTCTTTTTCTCAGCTGGTGTCAAGTTGATATTGTTGATTAAGGTCCCCATGTCTGTTACAGCTGCTTGGTAATTTACGTCAGTCCAGTGAGAAACGTTACAATGTGCCCACTCATTTCTAACGTCTGATCTAATTTTCTTTGCTATACCACTAGCTCCATGGAAAGGCTGGGCCTCGGCAACAATGGATAGTGCTGCGGATGTATCCAAAGTTTGATCAAAACCAGTAAAGCTAGCCATGAATGGTTTCATGAACAACTTCGCCAATGATACTGGATCTTTGACAGCATAGTCGTACTTATGATAAGGAGTTTTGGGGATAGTGGAATTGTTGTTGACACTTTCATAGTTTAGGTTCAATTTAGAAGGTGGTAATGTCTTTGCTTGCCCACCGAATGCCTGTTTATCAATCTGGTAGGGAAGTAGGAGCAGGCTTTGATACCATATTGGCATTTCATTGGCAATAACCTCTCTCAATGCTGGAGTAAGGACTTTAGTCAGACATATGCCAATGATTACCCATCTTCGTTCTTCATCAGAAATTGTGTTAGGACTCGCCTCAGCAACACCAAGTGCGGTGGCCATCGATGAGTGATGTAATTCAGTGCTTTAAATGAAAAAATATTTATAAATAACTTGAATTAAGTAGCTGTCACGCAATCCCATGCAGCAAAAGTGGCCGCCAAATGTACTCCCTGAGTCCACTGCGGATTACTTATGTGATTTCCCATTTCACATAAGGTGGCTCTCTGCCCAGGACCGCCGAGAAAGAGGGCACTTTGTCCCGGCCTCCCTGCTCAAAAGGGACCCTAAAGCAACGAAGGCAATCAACATTTCGTGATACAAGATCGCTTTAACTAAGAATATAAATCCTAGCTGTGTTAGTGTCCGATAATAAAATGTAACATACTGTAAAACACCGCTTCTCTCCTTCATTTTACAAGAATGACATCATAGGAGCTCCCATGGAAAGTTTTTCCCCGGGTCCCGCACAAACTCACGGCCGCCCTTTCCTTAGACTCGATCTCTACCATAATATCCTGAATTATGGAGAGTTTATGGCTTCAGTAGATTTAACTTTTGGAAGTAACGTTACTTGTTGGAAAACAAAAATTACACAACTTCATGGAGTTGGAAATCAGCAACAAACGATAAGTAATTACTGCTGCCATGGTAACAATGACAATTTAATTTCATAAAACGCTTTCGTAGGGCCATAGATTCCGTAGGGCCACGTTTTTAAAATTCAATAAATGTTATTGTCTATTGTAAAATATTATTGTCTAATTTTGTTCAGATAATCTATTGTACAAAAAAAATCATAAAAGAAAAAATGCGGCAGGCAATTTGTTTTAGTACAGTACGTTTAAAGCTAAAATATTGGCCAGCGTAAGGTATATCATGATGCAACTGCGCTGCTATGTAATATTTATCAGTTATATACCTGAAACGAGGGGTATTCCACAAAAAATTACCCTGAGGGATGAAATATATATTTCATCCCGCAGGGTAATTTTTTGTGGAATACCCCGAGTGAAAGGTCTATAAATGGTATATTATACCGAACCTTTCAAAAATAAGTAGAAAACAAATACCATTCAATTTACTTTTAATTTCAAAAGTCGAATTTCCCGCTCAAGCGTGGTATTCGAAGTCGAATACCATGGCCCCGGGTAAAACACCCAGGGTTCAAATTGCCTAGGTCATAGTATTCGCTGAAAAATATCATGGTCATGTGGTACAAATTTAGTTCTCTGATTGGACAAGCTCATTGTGAGGTATAATATTTATCATTTATAGACCTGGAGCGAGGGGAATTCGGGAAAATATTACCCGAAGTGATGATATTTCATCTAATTTCGATAAATATCATCACTGAGGGTAATATTTCCCCGAATCCCCCGAGCGGAGGGTCTATAAATGATATATTATACCGAAAATTAAAAGCCTCCAAGTCGAGAATTAAAAACTTGACACATACCTTCGCCTTCGGCTTCGTGAATACGATGTTTTATTTTCGAATTAACGCAAGTATC